TTGTTTCCAATCGTAAGCGCTGCATCAATAGTTGCAAAAGTCAGTCGAGATCGCCTACTTCGAGACTGGAATTTTGTGGAGGGTTCCGTGAAAATTCCTGACGATGGTTATGGAAGTGGTTATCCGGGTGGTGAGTACCTTACCACATTTGGTGAGCAGAGAGCGATCGGGATTCTCAAAGAATCTACGGCACTCAGTTTCAGTGAAACTAGCTTCAAAATCAGTCAGAATCGATTTCTCAGCTAATTTCTGTTGTCACATTCCAAAAGAATAATTCCTAGAAGAGGAATCGAGTTGCTGATAAACTTTTCTGATGATCCAATGTGAGATGGTCTATTGAGAAACCAAACTTCCAGATCCAAATACGAAGAAATTTCTTCGCGACGCCATAGACCCTGTATTTGGGTATCCGAATTTGGTTCGGTTCAGTTGGAAAACAGCTGAAGTGATACTGGAAAAGAGTGCGGTCCCGTGTAAATGGTGAATTTTTAGATTCTTCATTAATACTATCGTGTGAACATTCATTCAACCGAGCGTCAAGATTCATTTTATGCTTTGCAAACTTATTATTCTATCTTTGTCTGCATACAATGCCGCCTACATTCTGCTGATAGCAAATCGTTTCCTTCAGGGAATTTTTCAGTGTTTGTTAACGGTTATAATATCGTTGTTGATAACGCATTGAGGGAATGGAAAATTATAGGCGCTATGATTGTATCGGTTACGAATTAATGATAATAAGAATGATATGAACTTGAAGTTAATGAAGATCGTGTTATGACATTTAAGGGAAGAACCTGGAAAGATAGAGCTGACATCGTGGTTTCATTCTGGAGCCAAAGACGAGAAGCCACTGCCGCAGAGATCTGCCTTCTTTGTTGACCGTTTCATCTCGAATGTTGTTCACTTCTAAACTGATGTCCTCCTCAGATGATCCGATCTGCTTTAATCTCCATGAACCTTCTCGTAAAATCATCATCACATTAACAAGCAACATCCACTGAATTGGCTTTGCCAGGATTGGATCTCAAATTTCAGTTTGAAATAATAATCTTAAGTTGATTTTCATCATCCGCTCACATATGATTCTCATTTTATGGTTTGTTTCGATGCCTTCCTTCTTGCTTCAAAATGTATTTTTTGTGACTACAATATCTTTCCTGTTCACTTTCTCAATTTTCATTCACTCATACAATTTGCTCATTTCTTGGCTTGTATTATCGCTTGATGGTTTTAACTGTTCTTGTGAATGCATGAAGTATCACTGTAAAGTGAAAAAAGGAAAATAAAATCTCATGCATAACGATTGTATGATTCTGATTGCATAAACTTAAAATACCAATGACCTAATTTTCACATGAAAATTGAACCCAAAACACCATAAAACATTACAAATGAAAAGTCAGTTCAACTGCACATTCTTGAATTTTCTTTTATTCAAGAAACTTTCATATCATAGCAATACATATTTCTAAATGATGGAATCTGAATGAGCAACAGTTTTGTTTCATCCGATGTAAATTTTCATAAAACAGTAAAATTGATTCAAATTCGAGACAATTCGAATTGCTTTTTCGGTTCAATGATAAGAATCCTAATCATTTTACTACTACATTTCTGCAACGAGTGGTCAGCAGTTGCATTTCTTCCTAGGAGTTGTTCCTTATTACTAACATTTTTGTTTTTATGGTGAGCTATTAACTTCTTCTTTTCCTGTTAAACAAACGCATTCATAAAGATGCTCTCAGTCTCTGTATCTTGCACAAAACACTGACATTCACATGGAGAACTGCTTTCAATGAAACTCAGATGCAAGGCGATTTAAATTGTTGAACAGAACTTAGTTTTGACCAAGTGTGGTATGGTCTGTTCATGTAAGCTTGCTTTGAAGCCGATCTGAGTGGACAATTAAACGGTCGTTTGATCATTAAGTCGATAATTTAATCGCTCATTCGATAAAGCAACAAATCAATGACCGAAACGATAAATCAACCGTCTGAAGTCTCCGTTGCAATGGTCAATAAATTGCAAAGTGATGGTATCAAATGTCTTAGATCAATTGGTTTGTTTGCTTGCTAAATTTCAACAACTTTTCGATGTTGTTCAAATCATCTCAAGGAAACCAATCAGCTGAGAATCCACTGTTTCGGATTGCTCAAAACGCCTGTATAACAAATTTAAGAACACTGTCATGTCAATAAGGACACCATTATAAAAGCTTTCGCATTTACAGGAAAAGGAAGTTATTCAAAAGTGAAACTAGCTTGGTGTGAATACATGCAGAAACTGGTTGCAGTTAAAGTAGTTGATAAAAGGTTCCACGCAATTTCCAAAAATTCTCAACTTTCTACACAGGTCAAATTCTCAACCGAATACTACTCATTTGTTGCAGATCGGGTTCTGATTTCGTGGTTCGTTTCTTGCCTCGAGAACTGCAGATTGTGAAACGACTCCATCACAGCAATATTATTAACGTTTACAGTGTTAGTCGTATTTTCTCTTGATTCTTTTTGCCACATTTTAGAGCACCAATCGAGACAGCTGAACCAATCGAGTCTCAGTTCAGGCAAAAAACTATCGCTCCTAATCAGAAAATACTGCGAAGAGCACAAAATTCCGAACGTTCACAAGTAGAAATGGACCTTAAATTTGACATCCAAATCATCACTTCTACCTGGTCAGCATCATCGAGAATAAATTCAAACCACTGCCATTGAGAATTGAAACATTCCCATGAGATATGCAAACAAAATATGAATATTACAGCCAACTTCTAATGATTCATGTGCACATTGTTCATTGGAAAGA